GATGATCTTTGAGGTCCCTTCCAACCCAAACCATTCTGTGATTCTATAATGGTCCCTGTCAGGTGTATCTTGAGCTAAAACAAAATAATCAGATAGCACAGGAATAGATGCTTAGGTACATTAAATATGTTTATGCTCTCTGTGCAGACCACTGGGCTTGTAGGATTGGCTGTAGCTGAAAACCCTCATGAGGTATGTCACATGTCTTGTTCTGTATTTAATAGAAATTGTTGATGAGATCAAAGCTTTTTGTTATATATTTGCATATGTAGGTACAGTATGTACCTTAAAGCGGTGCCAACTTAATGAAAGTGTAAGACTGTTCCAAAGTGATTAAGGAAGAAAATTAGTTCTTAAAGGTTTAATTTGTATCATTAGGAGTTATTTTGCACATATACTTTTTGTTGCATGCGCTGATTTCAAAACCATTGTTTGTGTTTTTGGTTTCTGTCTCTCCTCTCCAATGCAAAAGCAAAGAACTTTTTGAATTCAGTTCTTCATAAGTGTAATTTCTACTTCACAAATATACAGATTTTTGCTGCCTTGCTATGTTGTGTTTCCAACAAGTACTGAAATAACTTATACCTATATTAAGGGGATAGGCTAGTCATACATGATAGAGACCAACCGTGTGGTGCAAAGCCACATCAAGGCCCTGTGATGGCAAGTGCTGTTGAGATTGGAATACTTCAGTGGTTCTTGTAGCAATTGGGTGCTTTTTACATCCTCAGGCTCAGTAGTGAAAGTATGTTTGCCACATCTTGCTTGCTTATGCAGGAAGCATGAGCTTTGAAAGGACTTCTTTGATTTCTTAATGCTTTGAAATCAAATTCTTTTATTTCTCCGTGCTTTGAAATTTCCCACCATGCAATGATTCTATTTAAAAAATGCTTTTGCCACTAGGAATAGTGTCAAAAAGAACCATTGGAAAAAATCATTATTGTTCTGTACAAATGATTCTATCTCAGTCTACAGCCTTGTCAGACACCTTCTGGGTGAGCTTAATAAATTTTGGGTTTTTTCAGTGACTTAAAGCCAGGAGTGAAGAAATCAACAGTGTTTTAGCTGAACTATAGATTCTGTGCCAGTCCCCTTTTTGTTACCTTTTTTTTTTTTCTTCTTTGTATTTCTGACTACAGTCTTCTGCTTCCATTTCTTATTGTTGCTTGTCCTGGTTTCAGCAGGGATAGAGTTAAATTTTCTTCCTAGCAGCTGCTATAGTGCTGTGTTTTGGATTTAGGATGAGAATAATGTTGATAACACACTGATATTTTAGTTGTTGCCAAGTAGTCAAGGATTTTTCAGCTTCTCATACTGCCCTGCCAACGAGAAGGTGGGGGATGCACAAAAAGCTGGGAGGGGACACAGCCAGGACAGCTGCCCCCAACTGGCCAAAGGGATATTCCATACTATATGACGTCATGCTCCGTATATAACTGGGGGAGTTAGCCAGGAAGGGGGTGTGGCTGAGGAACTAGCTGAGCATTAGCTCCAGGTGGTGAGCAATTGTGCTGTGCATCACTTGTTCTGTATATTATTATAGTTGATCTTCCTTTTCTGTCCTATTAAACAGTCTTTATCTCAACTCATGAGCTTTACCTTTTCCTTTTCAATTCTCTCCCCCATCCCACTGGGGCAGGGAGGAGTGAGCAAATGGCCGTGTGGTTGTTTCAGCTGCCAGCCTGGTTAAACCACGACATTCCTATAGGACATCCATTCCTATTCAGTTAGATACAGTTACCCAGCCAACATAAGGTCCGAAAGCTGCAATTTCTTCACCCCAGCCTGTCCTTTATCACTGCCCTTAAATCCAGCAATAAAAATGTTCAGGTTTTAGTTTAATTTTAATCTGCCTGTCACTCAGAACTTTGTGCTGGCATGAGGAGAGACGCCAAAAAAATTAATCTAGTTATGCTTTGGTAGCTTATGTGCTTCTTTATATCTTTCCATGTAATTTTTCAGAAACTGATAGTTTAGACATGAATGTGCCTCATTTCTTAAAAATATGGTCAGTATTAGAAACACAGATTTTATTGTTTCCGGTTTACATCAAATGTAGTTCAGATTGCAGCTTTCTTTTTTCTTTTTTTTTCTTTCTTTTCTTCTTTCTTTTTTTTTTTTTCCCCTCTTTGAGGAATCTGACACTGGTAAGGTCCCAGTCCTGATAAATCCCAGTCTTACCCAAGACAGAGTTCTGTGGTTCAGACTCAGTTATTTTCTTAATCCCACATTTCTGGATTGAATACCATAACCTCTATATTTTATGTATAGATAGTTAGCTAGTAGGTTAAGTAGGACAAAAAGTGTGTATTCTAGTTGTGTATTCTAACCATGTCTTGTGGTCACTTCAGCGCTTGCGAATACTGTACACAAAAATCCTTGGTGTCCTGCAAAACTTTCCCAAAGATGCAGCATATAGGAAATACACTGAGCAGATTGTAAATCAGCGGTTTAATTTGGTGCAAACGGTGAGTACAGTGCTGTTTCGTAAATGTTACACATGAAAAGATTTTTAGGATGAGAAGAATGATTTTCAAAATGACTGGCTTTTTTTCAGGATTATATGTAGCTTTCAGGTATCAATTCAGAAGTAATTGAAGTCTTGAGGTTTATTTTTGTTATTGACTGGAATATTTTGATGTTATATTAAAAAGAATTGTTAATTTCTTACTGATGTTTTCTGTGAAAATTAGAAGAAAACGTTTTTTGAAGATTTGTAGAACAGTGGTAATTTCCACACACTTGCACAAAAAATGCATGTGATCTTACCAATGTAGTATATGGCACAATCCTTGCCTTCAACATTTTAAAACACTTTTTTGGTACATTACACAATACCAGTATTGCATAGTTTATTTAAGGTGATAATTGGAAGGTTGCATATCATTTTATAAAAAGCTAAGATGAAAATTTTCTTTCAAGATGCATACTAAAGCCCTTAGCTGGTAATGCTTCTTTGGATGTCATTAAATAGTACTCTGTTTTTGTATTTATCATTGAGAATTTGATGTTTGTTTTCCAATAAGAAAAGTGTATGAGATTTCTTTGGTAATGTAAAATAACAGAAACCAGCTAATTTGATGGTAGTTTTGAGGAAGACTAGAGTGTGATCTGGTTAAATTATTGTTTTTATGCTTTATCTGGGCTTTCTACTTCTCAGTAAAACTAAACGTTGATTTCTATGTATTTGAATACACAGGAGACTGATGTGCAAAAACTACAGGACAAACTGAATAGCGGTCACATAGAAGAAGTCATTGTACAGGTAAAGCGGGGAAATTTAAGGTTGGGTACAAAAGGGAGCAGTGGTTTTCAGTGTTCCTTTGGCTGAACTTCTGTTCAGAAAATTGGCAGTTTTCCATTTCCTCCTTTGCTGCAAAAAACCGAACAAACAGTAAAAAAAAAATCTGAAAATGAAGTGATTGGGATGACCATGCTAAAACCTAACACAGTTAACGTGTGTTTATTATGTTTATATATATACACCACGTATACCTACGTTGTTTCTTATAGAGTCTAAATCAGTGGAAAGGGCAGAAGGTGATTTAATAATATTGGGGGTTAATCCAAATAGACTGGAAAATACCATGTAGTCATCATTGGGAATGACTGGATGAACAGACTATCTGTTTGGCTATTTGGAGGTGATTCAGTATGTTTTTTAAAAACAAATACCAAAACCCCCAAAACACACAGTTCCTTTTGATATTTATAAATTAAATTTGTGATAGTCCCTAGCCATGATAGGTAGTGACATCACTGAGATAATGAACTGAAATAGATGTAATTTAATACTTTGGCAATTGTATAGAATTTCTGAATTTGTGGATGGTGTTTATTAACAGGCTGAAAATGAGCTTTCCCTGGCAAGAAAAATGCTACAGTGGAAACCATGGGAGCCTCTAATTGAAGAACCTCCTTCTGACCAGTGGAGATGGCCAGTCTAATTTTCAAAATGGTGTAACCTCTTGAAAATAATAAAAAAAAGAAGTTAATTATTAATCTATTGTTACTGACAGTTGTCTTTAAATTAAAGATAATAACTTAATAAAAACATGTTTTGTCCTAATGTCCACTTACATTTAGCAATCTAAAGACCGCTTCCAACTTCTTGCAAAAATAGTTTTAAGAAAATTCTTTTCAGCTGTTGTACATACAACCTTTGGTTTATTTCCTTTTGTAATTTATTATTAACAGGGTATTTGTGCCTCATTCTGAGGTTTTTTTTTTTTTTTAAATTTATGTTATATTTTATGTTGCAGGCCACTTGAAATCAAAATCAGAGTTGTAGCAAAGTATGATCCCGCCCTTCGCTCCCACCTTGTGTATTTTTGCCAGCCGCTGCCAGGGTCCTTATAACCATGCAGATACTGAGATCAGGGGTCTGATGTAATGAAAACTATGCTTACCAAAAGTAACAGTTTTTTAGGTTTCAGTTGAATTACTGTCTTGAATTGTCTGACTTGGCTGCCACATAAACACTAATTCTCACTTGGGGGAAGTGCTGGGAAGACCCAAGATTGGAGGGGTGAGGGGGAGAAGGACAGCCACCCCTTAAGGTGACAGCAGGTTTCTTGGTTAGCAGGTAGGTTACCATACTTAGCATAACACACATGGCACAGACTGTAGTATTGGGGCCTTATAAAGGCTTTGTATATAAAAATGTATACTTTATAGATTTATTTGTCTATTAATGATTCAGACCTTGAATATTACTTAGTAATATGAAAAACATCTTTCTTGACACATCTGGCTAAGTTCTTTCAAACATTTAAATGGAAACAGTGTCTGCCTCTTCTGAAAAAAATTGTTTACAGATTTAAGCTATAAGCCCCAATTAAAATATCCGAACTAGATCTAAGGATAGTGTGCAAGTTTGCCTTTACTCATATTTTTTTCAGTACCATTGATAAAGTTCTTGCAAGTTGAAAGATAAGAATATAGCTGTGTGACAAAAATCTTCAGTTTCTTAGATGTTTATGTTAGTGCCACTGCACTACATTACATTCCATAACTTTGTTATTGCTGTTTTTCGTAGTCATTAGGCCTAGAAGTTTACTTGTGGTATCATTATTATTAATGATTAATTACATCTTTGTATAATATTTCATACAATGAAGCTATTTGGAGAGTAGGACAGTAGAAAACCAGTAAGTATACCGAGGGCATTGACTCTAGCAACTATTTTCACTGCGTTCTTTAGCATTGTTTTTTTCAACTATTTTTACTATAATTGCAGAAATTTTTAGATATTGAAAAAGTAGAATATATTTTCCTGCATTGGTTGGTTTTGAAGGCTTTTTCAGTCTTGAAAAAGGTAGAAGCTGGTCTCTTCTGAGATAAAACCAGTAGATGGCATTCCAGAAGAGGACTTGGCTAAAGTTAACAAACAATTTTTACCTGAGAAGTATTAAAGGATTACAAACTTGAATGAGGGTGAATGATGTCAGATGAGAAATGAAGATGTAAGCATTGAGCTGATGTGAGAGGAAAATAAAAAATAAAAAATAAACCCCCCTGAAGTCTAGTACTAATGATATTGGCATGTAATACTTGAGGGGAGGGGGAAAAGTTGCCAGAATATGGTGACAACTATTGGAATTGTTTCTACTCTTTCATAACTGAGACATCAGTTGAACTCTCTTTTTTGCTCCGTTATTTTCTCCCCTTCTAAAGCCATATTTGTCATGTGACGTATAATAGCTCTCCCATAAGCTCATGAGTTGTGTTGCAGGAGAGTCTCTTTTTCTTGGCCCGTTGCTGCTGAAATTTGATATCTTGTCCTTTAGAACTGAGTTTCACTGATCGAAAGCGTACTCATGTCTTCTCCCTTTCACAAATGCACAGATATGTCTTGGTACAGACCCTAATATAAGTTGTTTACTACCTTGAGGGGATTTATTTTTAGAGCTATGTTTCCTAGTTTATATTCTCAGTGATTTTTCTGGTCTAAAGCATTTCTTTCACATGACTCAAAATAGGATCATTTTCTAAATCTTCCTATCCAAAACACTGGAGTAGTCTTTACAAATGCTTTAACTGAGGAATCAATTAACTTGAGTCTTAAAAAGGTTCTGCTGAAGCCAGCTAACTCTAGGAATCATTAATAAGAATTTTTCAGCTTTCTGAGCTTTTTATCAAATTCTCAGAATGTGTTATGATTTATTTTCATTATTTTATCATTGGTTAAATTTTGTTTCATTACCTTAGCATAAATGAATCTATGCTACATAAGATTACTAAATGAATTAGTATTATGTTGTAGCATCAACTTTAAATAGCAGGTGTTGAGAACATAGGAAGGAAAGAAAAAGGATTACAGTTTTGAGATGTAACTGTGTATGCCTTTAGTTCATATCCTCCTTGTTCCTGGCTAATTTAAAAATACATCTTTGCCAAGAAGAGAAACAGTAATTTTTACCTTGCTATTAACTCTGTAACTATATATCTGACCTTTAGTTTATATCCTCCTTGTTCCTGGCTAATTTAAATACATCTTTGCCAAGAAGAGAAACAGTAATTTTTACCTTGCTATTAACTCTGTAACTATATATCTGACATTTAAAGCCACACTGTAGCAACAAAACAGTACACACGTATTTTACAGGCAAGAGCCTATATTAGGAGTACTATGTTGCAAATAATTTATTTTAAGATGAATACGCTATCAAGGCATAATTTGGAGACTGACTGTGATGATGTTTGCTTGATTTTTCTCCATTAACTGTTGGAAATACGTGATGATGCAAAAGATTTTATCATTATCTGCTGTAATATGGTAAGGTAAATCACTGCAAGCCTTAGAATTAACAAACTTTAGATCTTTAAAACACTTTTGAGATCCTCTGATTGCAGTCATTATGCAAGTGAAAATCACTCTATATTTAAGGATGGGACCTAATAGAGGCAGAGCCTGTTAAACCAGAAAAACAACTTTGGGATTGCAGTGTAGCAGCAGTACTGAGGGTTTCGTTATTCCTGAAATGCTCTCTGCACTGCATAACCTATTTTGAGTGGCTGTGTTCTGCACAGGACACCATTTTCATCTTTGGCATAATTTCTGATTGTTTTCAAAGGGAGAAGAGTGAAAGCTGCTTTTTTATTTACATCATATGTGCTATTTCATGGGAAAAAAATGGAAAAATCATCTTACAAACCGAAAGTGAGTTTGAATGTTTAATCAAGTCAGCAATATCATAATGACAAAGTGACACAAACTGACATAATATCTATGGAGTTACTGCAGGTCCTATTCTACCCGTAGTTCATGGTCAATCCAGGTTTTAGGAAAAAAGAGCATTACCAGTGGTAATGGGCAGTTTCTGTCCTTTTGATGACAAGCAGGTCCCCAGTCAAACACTAAACAATGCCTGTGGAATGTGGCAGCATTTATTATGGCATACTGTTACTGAATATGGGCATAATTTCAATGTCTGCTGAAATACAATTTTTTTTTTTTTTCAGGATTCTTCCAGAGTTGTGATGCAGAACTGTATATTTCACATCTAAAATGGTTGTGTGGAGTGAGCGTAGTCTCAGTTTTCCTGTAGCATGCTGAAACACTTGCAAGAGCTGTCTCAGAAATCACACATCAGATACCAGGAAATTCAGTTTCATATGGTTTTAATTCTGGTATCAGTGTCTTAATTTCCACTCTGCAGCCTCAGTCCTGACACGAGAACCGCAGACCTTCCAGGGGAGAAAGCCACTGTTGGGCTGAACGCATCACACAGGTCAGTGCTGACACGCAGCTGGAAGTGATGATGCGAGGGTTACAGCGAGGGTTATCAACATCCGAACACACCAGCTCTTCATTAAATCCAGGAAACTGGTTTGGGTATTAGCACAATTTCTGCTGCTATCTACAATATAAACTGAAAGGGAAAATGGTGTTTTCTTACGTTAATGTCATTGTAAGCTGGTAGGAGTTGACCCTCACCCTGCCATGGATGACAGTACAGGACAAGGCACTTGTCAGGACCGTTGTTACCAGCCTCACGGAAGCCAGGCCAGGCAGCAGCAAGCCCAAGCTGCTGCAGGTGCTGCGATGCTTCCGTTAACGGCGGTGGGGTAAAACGGAGCCAGGGAGGCCTCCCAGGCTCCGCCCTGTCTCACCGCTTCCTTCCCCC